AGCAGACACCGTGTTGCTGATTTTATTGTTTAGACTGCTGGTCTCTAGAGGAGAAATGGGGTAGGTATTCAGTAGCCACAGGGTCTGGTGAAGCATATTTTTTTAAGTGTTACAGATCCTCCCAAACCCTGGGGGCAGGGACGTTTCCTGTGATTTAGGACACTTGGACATCTCCCAGGGTGTTTTAAGTCCAGGGAACAAATACATCCATGTCAGACCTCCTGGGTTTGGGTAAATCAGGTAGACCTGCAAGTGGAGAAAGGGGTTCTGGGGCTGGGATGAAGGACAGGGGTCCTAATGAGACAGGGACCGTGGATGTAGTCAGAGTAGGGTGAGGGCCTCTGGAGGAGGCAGGGCGGGATATTTGCAGTCAGAGCAATGTAACTATATGCAAGGAAACCCCCCTGCTAAAACTGTTATGTCATACATTGAGCTCTAGAATCATTCTTCAGTGACATCAGTTAATGTTCCCCAGATAATGAAGAGTAGCACATGTTTTATTATGCTAAGCATGTGCAGCCCTGTGTAAGATTCACTTTAGCACTAAAAGGCCCAGGCCTCCTATGTGCTGTCTTTCCTCCTTCAGATCTGACGAGGTGATTTTGCAAACTGAGCAACTAACTTATCATGCAGATACATCCAGCTGTAGACGACAGGGTGAAAGGCAGGAAGAATTCCATCTTAAAGATAAGATTGCATTTTAACACCCAGGAAGTTCAAGAGGCAAGATTCTTTAGCAAGTAGGCAATACCTCAGCCCACCTTGGGGGCTGGGCAGGCAGCCTTTTGATGTGCTCCGGGGGCCAAGGCGCTGGTGTCCCAGAGAGAAATCAAGGCAGGAAATTCCTTGCCTTAAGTTAATTTTAAATATTCAGAGACCACTTAACAAGTCCACACCACTAAGTTTTTTTCATGTTCTCGAAAAATCCTCAGCTGCCTATAAAACCCCCTAGACAACGCACCACTACGGAATCTCTTGTCCCCTCTTGGTGTGAGCCAGGAGCTGTATTCTCTTACTTTATTTCTAAATAAAAGCCTGTACCTTGCTTTCCTACCTTGACTGTGAAGCTCATTCTTCGGCTCCCCAAACAAGAACCCCGGCATCACTAAGTTGGATTGGACACCGGGACTGGGGAGGCACAGTGTCCTGCAGTCCATCTCCGCACAGTTTGGGGTTCCACAATCGTTGAGAACCAAGTGACAAGGGAAAGGTCCTTCTCAGGTCGTGCCGGTTCCCCCGAGAGGCGTGCAGACACTTCCACAGGAGGCACTGCAGCAGTGGTGGCCCATCTGACATGCCGAGGGTAACTGGCAGATGGTGGCACACTGCTCGGTACTGGGAATCTTCATGCAGGGTTACAATTTCGGCTTTGATAAAACTGAAAAGGACTATGTGAGAAGTGACTTAACGAAAAGTTTTTTCTGATTATTATCAGCCCCTCCAAGGCCCCAGGACCCAGCCCACTGATTTCTCTTCCTCTCCCTGCCCAGGGACCTGGGTGGACATTTTGATTCCTGGAGTCAAGATCTGGCTCCCACACGCCTAGCGAAACCCAGCCGCCATGAAGCCACCCCTTGGAACTGCAGCTCACGGAACCTGAGTCCCGAAACCCAGTTCCCAGAACAAAGGGTCCCAAGAGATCTGGTCTCCTACTGCTGTCTTAGAGGCGGGAGGACCGGAGTCCCACCTCTACTTCACTCCTGGCTGAAAAGGTCCTCAAAAGCTGGCTCTTCCCTAGAAACCTTTATCACTAGCTGTTTTCCCACGACTCTCCCCTCAGTCCTGCTGATTTCAATCCCTCCCTGCCACACACAGTGTGGTTCCAAACTTCCCCTCCTCAAGCATGCATTTTATTTTTCTTCTCCCTGCCCAGTGTTCCAAAATATTCAATTCCCCAAACAAAGGCCCTATTTCAAGAAAGAATTAGTATCCCTTCCCAATTCGGTGCTCATCCTTGGAACTCCTTAATGAGGCCATAAACTGGTAGCTCAAGCTAGCCACCCTCCACACAGGCTCCAAACCCCGGGGAGCCTTCCTGGACAGAAACACCATACAGCCGCCACCATGCCCACCACACACCTAAAAACATCGTGTTCCTTGTAGTATCAGGAGACCCTTAAGCTCGAGAACTAAACTAAATTCAGCTTTCCTTGGGGATCCCGGCTGAAAAGAGGAAGCAAAGCTTTTGTAGGTGCCGGCCCCTGTCTCCTCTTCTCAGCAGGCCTGGGAACAGTCCTTTTGCTTCCTACCCGTTCTTTATCTGGAAGCCCAGTCGGAATGCCTACTGTATGCTGGAAATTCAGCTAGAGACTCAACTCTTTCTATCCAGTTTCCTGAGACTGACAGGATCACCACGTAGTCCAGCATCAGCAACTGGAGAACCAACCACTTCATGGTGCCGACTGTGGATGTCTGAGCGTGAGCCTGGCAGGGTGCCCAGGGTTTGATCAGGCCTTGCTGGGTAGAGAAGAGCTGCAGGGTGGGAGCTGGGAGGCCACGTGAGGGGTCTCACTGCCCCATCTGCTTCTGCCTCCTCCCCTGCCGTCCACCGCATCTCGGCTGGGCACTGGTGTACGTCAGGCACTTTCTCTCTCTTATGCGTCATACTCGTCTCACTGCAGAAATGAATTCTTCATGGCTTTATGATTTTCTATGTTAGAAATTTGGAAAACATAGAGAAGTACAAGGAAAATAATAAGGTATTATCAGTCATCCATGGTCTAAATACTAGTGTCATGTATCTTTCATGAAAGATAGTGTTAAGCTAATCTCCCAAATTAAAAAACTATATATCCATATTTATTGGATTTTATTGTGTTTTTAAAGTCATTAAAGAATATCAGTAAATGTAAGTCAGTTAAAAATTTTAAATCATCAGAGAGCTTTAAAAAATCGATCACAAAACTTGAAGTGAAACAAATTTATCTAAGTCTGAATCTCCCCAAGATTTTCTGGGTTTCACAATAATTAGCTCCTAAATGAGATCAGCACATTTCCTTTTTAAAGCACACTTATTTAAAATTTCATATTTACTTATTTATAAAGTAAATAGATGAACTTCATATCCCTCAATTCCATTAAAGTAACTTTAAAGAGTGACATTAGCAAGATGACTAAATAAGACTCCCCTGCTTGAATCCCCCATGGTGCGCGCACACACACACAACAATAACGTGGCACCCATCCATCCTCAGACAAAGCGGGAGCTTTGTGAATTCCCCGTGGGAGCTGTGGGGTCCAGTACCGTATGCCAAGGGACCTGGGAGGAACCTCACCTGTGGTTTGGGTGATAGGCATACAGAGTTTGGTTCTGGCATGGGACCCTGACGTGGCCTGTAAACTGGCTCTAGGCCCCTCTCAGTCACAGTCCAGGCTCTAGACAATCACTCAGGTGAGAAAGCCTTTGTGGCCAGGATACACAGTAGGTACTCTATGATCTCATTCAGGAGAAGCTATATTTTAAAAATGATCTTCAAGATACTGTCAACTGAAATCAACACGACTGCCGTATTTAAGAAAGGTAGAGTTTACTCCTAGTCTTACTGAGGCCCGTGGCCTGAGAGCAGCCCATCAGGGTGCTCTGATAAACTCCTATAAAGCCCCTGCATTTGGAGACATCTCAAATGCTTTTCCTACAGCAGGGGATACACTCAGGAAAGAGCTTACATTTATCAATACATTGGGCATTGTGGCATGGATGCATCTAGTTAGTGTCCTAAGGATCGTGTACACATTCCAATGGTATCTGTGTGTGTGAGAGGAGGCAGGGCCAAGGGTTCTCATCAGGCGGATGACCTCATCTTCTCTGGGGGATGGAGAGGGCACATGCATCCCTTGTCAGTGACACCAGGAAATTCCTGACTGACTGCATTTCTGGAGGAGGTTTAAACTGTGATTAGGTTAGGTATTAAGTCCTGTTTGGTGACTTGGTGCAGCAGAAGTGACCCCAGGTTGGGCCTGTGTCTTTCTTTTTTTATTATTATTAAAGCATCACAGATACTGTGTCTTTCTTTTTAACAATGCTAATGACAAATGGCAGCAATACAAATATAATCCAGAGAAACAATATGGGCAGGAAAGCCTGCCTTGCATTACCTGAAATCTCAGGATGTGAGGGCTATTACCCAGTAAAACTCTGGCAGACAAAACTCACCTGGCAGGAATAAGAAGATATTGAGAGGGTAGAAGGAGGACTCCTTCTGGAAGCTCAGAATACTGGGCAGGAATGATTTCTCTAGTGACTGGAGGTGCCAGCTTCTTACGAGGGGGGGGTGCTTGTGCCATTGGACAGTTATGTGGAGGCCAGGGTCTTGGGTCTGAAGTTGAGGAGTCTGGCTTTGCCTAGGGAGCCAGGTCAGAGACTGGCATGTTTTCACCAAATCCCCTTTTCTGTTCTTGGGCATACAGCTAGATTTTATTTCCTAGTCTCCTTTGCAAATAAGTGGGACCATATGAATGAATATATTGTGGCAAATAGAATGTGCATAGAAATAATAAACTCTGCTTCTAGGCCTGACCCTTAAAAACCTCCTACGTGAGCCTCCATGCCATCTTTCTTTTCTCATCTGCTGGCTGGGTACAGAGGAGGCCTTGAGAGATGGTGGGGCCATAGATGGAAGGATCCAGCGTCCTTGAATCATGGCATAGGTGACCTTCAGTGAAGTGTACTGTGAACGTGAATACACTTTTACCGTGTTAACGCCATGATTTTTTAATAAACCTCTATTTTGACTCTAGCCTTCAGCCCACCTGACTATTGCATAGATCTAGCTGAGGAGGCATGGCGGGGTGGGAATGACTATGGGGTACAAAAGCATGCAAAGCCTTCAAGTTGGTGTGTCAGTTTATTTGGCAAAGACTTGAGGCTCCTCAGGATGGAGAGGTCAAAGAGAAGACAGAGAGGTCCCCAGCTGCAGCAAGGGGGTACCCCAAAAGGGAGCCAGGCAGCACTCTTCTTAGACCACATAGTCATCCTCCAGGCCACACCAGTGGTGGGCCAGCTAGAACACAGGGTTTAGCATGGACTTAACGGGCTCTCTGGAAGAGAAAAGTTAAGTGGTTAAAAGTCAGGGGACTCTGGAAAGCATCTATACCCAACTTAATAACACCCTTGGCCCCAGTTAATGGGAACAGGAATTCTTTCTGTAAGATCAGGAATTACCCACTTTTAAGGACTTTCTCCCAAGAGATTTGCCAGCTGAGCACACTGGTGGAAACTGAGTCTTGTTGGGCCTGGCTGAGGCAAGGGACCAATGGAGGGGCCAGATTAGAGGCAGTAACTGAGGCCTTGGACAAAGGAGATATGATGTTCTGGGGGGACTCAGTGAGAGGGAAAGGAAGAGTATAGGCCCCACGTTGGCATTGTGCTTTGCATCACAGCAGCAGCCTAGGTGTGAAGTTAGGAGGCCATTGCCGTGTGCCGCCTGTTCCTTTGGCCAGGATTTGGGCGTGTGCTGTCTTCTGCTGCAGGTCACAGCTTTAAATGAGGGTGAGCAGCAGTAAGGAGGCATGTTTTGGTCCAGCCTTCCCACCCCAGCCAACTTACTCATTGTCCAGGCAGATGTTTCCACAGTAGGTCCAGCAGCACGTGTAATTTAGCTGTAAACACCCCTGGGATTTAGTGCACCTCTTCCTACAGTACTTAAGAGGAGGCTGTACCCAGCACTGTTCAGTTTCTCTTCTTTCAGCTGGAACTGAGGTGGTAGATGTCAGCAGGGTCCATTCATCCACCGGTTGAAGAAGAAACCCTTCTCGAGCTTAATTCCTGAGCCCTGGAACCTGAGCTCCAAGCCACAAGCAAAATATTTCTCTGCCTTTCAAAACAATCCCTTCTGTGAATTCTAGCCCCTGTCTTTTCACAGGAAACCATCCTTGCATGACACGGCTTCCCTGTTTGCACAAGTCCCCACCACACTGCAGGCCTTCGGGCCCTTACCACGTTCCCTAAAGACAGGACCCAGGACCACTTTGCCATGTATACCACCTCCCCAAGTCTTTCTCATTTAACCACAGATTTCAGACCTGTAACATTCTCGAGCTCCAATCTCCATACCCAGAATGTAGGATGGAAAACTGAGCTGAGGGAGCACAAGAACCTTCTTTTCCCCCTTTTTTATTTGCTTCCCTGCTGATACCACCTAAACAGTCTCTCCCTGGAGTCCGCATCTTCAAGAGTATAGGCCCCACGTTGGCATTGTGCTTTGCATCACAGCAGCAGCCTAGGTGTGAAGTTAGGAGGCCATTGCCGTGTGCCGCCTGTTCCTTTGGCCAGGATTTGGGCGTGTGCTGTCTTCTGCTGCAGGTCACAGCTTTAAATGAGGGTGAGCAGCAGTAAGGAGGCATGTTTTGGTCCAGCCTTCCCACCCCAGCCAACTTACTCATTGTCCAGGCAGATGTTTCCACAGTAGGTCCAGCAGCACGTGTAATTTAGCTGTAAACACCCCTGGGATTTAGTGCACCTCTTCCTACAGTACTTAAGAGGAGGCTGTACCCAGCACTGTTCAGTTTCTCTTCTTTCAGCTGGAACTGAGGTGGTAGATGTCAGCAGGGTCCATTCATCCACCGGTTGAAGAAGAAACCCTTCTCGAGCTTAATTCCTGAGCCCTGGAACCTGAGCTCCAAGCCACAAGCAAAATATTTCTCTGCCTTTCAAAACAATCCCTTCTGTGAATTCTAGCCCCTGTCTTTTCACAGGAAACCATCCTTGCATGACACGGCTTCCCTGTTTGCACAAGTCCCCACCACACTGCAGGCCTTCGGGCCCTTACCACGTTCCCTAAAGACAGGACCCAGGACCACTTTGCCATGTATACCACCTCCCCAAGTCTTTCTCATTTAACCACAGATTTCAGACCTCTAACATTCTCGAGCTCCAATCTCCATACCCAGAATGTAGGATGGAAAACTGAGCTGAGGGAGCACAAGAACCTTCTTTTCCCCCTTTTTTATTTGCTTCCCTGCTGATACCACCTAAACAGTCTCTCCCTGGAGTCCGCATCTTCACTGGCCCACAAACCTCCTTCTCAGGCCCTTCATTATCCCAATTTTCTTATCAAATGGCCTCACAATATGACTCGTAGGAGCCCTTATTTGTCCTTTGCATTTGCTCATATTCTAAAAGATTCTTCCCTCAAACTAACTGAATGCGTTGAATATTACCCTTTCAGTGTTCATCAAAGTCTCCCTCAGATCAAGGCCAGAAATTCTGAAAATAGGGGCTCAGAGGGAAGGAAGCTCTGTATGGTGTTTCCTCTACCCCAGGTGGTCTCACCTTGGAAAATACTGTTTTTTCTGCCAGCTTATGGAATGTGAACAAGAGCTGTGTCCCTTTCCGTATACCCATTGCTGCTTTCAGAGCTGGGAGGCTTGCCAGATTGGGGACATCCGGCCTAATCTTTCACTGCTTTAAGGAGGGTTCTTATCCTTTAAAGGGTGGTCCGAGAAATGTGGGCCCCGAGTCAGTTACACCACACAGCCCAGGCCTGGACAGAGCACCCTCCTCCCTGGCCACACCACCTACAGGAAGGTTTTCTCCAGAAGCCTTCCATCGCAACTCCAGAGACCACCGTGACGAGTAGGGGAGCCCAGGGCCTCATGGCAGACTCTCTGCGTGTTTGGGTGACGTTCTGGCAGAAGACGTTCTGGCAGAGTGATGCGTTACTCTCCTAATGCTGCCGAGGTAGAACAGGGGCAAAGGAGAACAAGGTAGGAAAGAGAGAGAAAGAACTTGTGAATACTGTGTTTTTCTTTCTCTTACTTTTCACCTCTGGCACCTAACAGCATGAATTCCAAGCTAGCTTTCAGCTTCCCTGGGCTTCTTCCCCATCTCACATTACACACTGCTTTCTTTGCAAAATGATTTCTTTAAAAAATGCATTGTTGGGGTGGGGGGGGGACTTGATAATATGGGTGAATGTAGTAACCACAATGTTGCTCATATGAAACCTTCATAAGATTGTATATCAATGATACCTTAATAAAAAAAATGCACTGCTTTTTTTTCTGATGAAAAAGCAACACAGCTTCAGACTGTATAATTTTTAAAAGAACAAAAAGTACAAAGAGGAAATGGGTAAGCATTAGTAATTCCACCCCGCCCCCCCAGAGATAACCAGTATATGTGTAACTCCTGAGGTCATAGTCACTGTTTTTATGAAATTGCAACAACAGAACATGCTGAGTGGCTTGATTTGTTACTTAAGAATATATGAGGCAGAATGATATAATGGAAGTTTTAGCCCTAAAACGAAGGGTACTGTGATTCCACAGTGATGCGTTACTCAGCGGGACTTGGGGAAAGACAATGGCCAAGAACTGGTCAGGGGACCCAAACAACTTTCCTCTCCACTGACGGTCCAAATTGGAAGGGTTGCAGAGAGGATTTTGAAGGAGATTCTAGTGACAGACAGCTTTGCATGAGGAAGCAGAAACGCTGCCTTCTAATTCCAAGTTGAGAGAAAAGGCTTTGTAGATATTGGGCATAGAGCTTGCTAAGTATCCCCAGAAATTTGTGGGGACACCATAGACTTGAGTCATGACTGAAGACTCTAAAGGGTGGGGAATCTGGCCAAAGGGGTCTGTAGTCCCAGAGAAGAGGGCTGCAGTTTGAGAATATCTGATTGTTAATGGCCAGATGCCATTTGAACCCTTGAAGTTTCCCATGGAAATACCAGAAGCATGAAGTCTGTCGTGTAAGAACTTTCCTGCCCCTTTTAATTGGTTCTTCTCCCTTTACTAGCCAGGAAATGAAAACTTTTTTAAGCCAGATGGGATTAGAGGAAAAAAATAGACAAAAATCCTTACATTCACAGAGCTGATAGTCTAGTTAAACAAAATAATAAGGAATACATAAATGGCAGTAAATGTTGAGGAGAAACAACAAAGCAGAAGATGAAATAGCCACTAACAGCTGCCAGTGAGGAGTGAGGGGAGTGGGAACACGGATGGGGAGCCTTAATTACCATCAAAATTCCCAGCCCTCTCCCGTCTGCCCCCTTCATTCTTTATCTGCTGCTTTACCTCCTGAAACCAAATAGGAAGGAAAATAAGAGGCCATGAAGAGGGTAAAATTCTGATATTATGAATTACATAGTAACAGGACATTGATTGTCCCTTGCCCTCAAAGTCTTTATATTTGTTCAGAAGTTTTCAACCCAATAGGAAAGACCCCTCTGCTCTGTCCAGCATAGGGTAGCCACTAGCCACCTGTGACTAAGGTACATTACAAACGCGGTTTCCAGTCATTTCAAGCATTCAACAGCCACCTGGAACTAGCGGCTGTCATACTGGTCAGCTCAGACAGAGAGAAAACACATCATCGCACACAGTTCTACTGAGAAACACGGCTGTAATCAAACCAGTCAAAATTCTCTGCTCCAAAGCTAGTGTAGCACTAGAAATAATTTAAAAGGTGCAAAATTTTTCAAAGGGGGCTTTGAAAACTCCTCCTATCAGAACATGTGAGATTTAGTAGTTGAGAAAAAAATGCAAGTTTTAGGCATATGAATCACTGATGCATTGACTTTGAGGCAATTTGGATTTAGGAAACAGGGAGACACAGGAGCGAGAAAAGGTCATTATGGAGAGAAAAGGAGGAAAGAAGCCCTTGAAATGCAAAAGATCAGATCTTCGGAGCTCCTGCTTTTAAATGCGTGTATCTGTTCTCCATCTGCTTCCAAATCCACATTTTCGGAACTCATGTCCCTGCCAGCTTGTCTCGACATGGCTTGATGAGGGAAAATTGCTAAGTTAAGGCAGTGGGACTTTAGTTACCATTGGGTAATATTTACACCAAAGGATATAACTTAACCGGGGAAGCTTCAGGCCGGAGGAGGGCCATCTCTGAGCACAGCAGGCTCTCAGAAACCCGGTAAGGCACTCACAGTTTCTCCACAGGAAAGCCAGCTAGCAATGGCACAATGCCCAGCGTCTGAGCCTGACTGCGAGTGTCGTCCTGATCCTCGGAAGGCACCAGCCTACAGCAGGACAGAAGAGCAGTGCAGACACTCTGTTATCCACTTACAGGTGGGGCTGAGAGGCACACGGCAACTAGGTGAAGGTGGGCATGGACTGGGGAGTGGGGGTCGCTAGATTCCTGGCACCTGCTCTTGCACACAGAAGGAGGAAAACTGGCACACTGTAACAGAAACACAATAAATCCAAACAATGGGTTCTGTGAAGCTGTTTATTTGTATTCAAAATATCATTCTAGATCCCAGTTTTCCAGGGCTTTGAGATCTGTTCATTTTAAAGGCCCTAATCTTAGTCCAGTTTCTGAATTCTCTATTTTCCTTACAGGGTGTTCAGGATCCTGGGGATGCCCAGTGCCCTTCTTGGCTGCCTCAGGTGCACTAAATGACACCAGAGAAGAGAATCATCAAGCCCAGGCTGCGTACTGCTCATAGGCAGAGTTCTGGGTGAATTCTTTGGCCATCTTGAGATAGAGTGTAGAACAATGAAAAGGTCCATAGGCATCACAAAGACACAGAACCACTGCTTCCCCCACCAAATTCAGGATCTGGGCTTTCCAGATAACGTTAAAGAAGAGAGAATACTGGATTTAGAGTCAGGAGTATCTTTCTCTATCTCTGCCCTTTTTAGCTATGGGACTTCAGGCAGCTCAGGCCACCTCTCAATGTTCTTATTTGAACAGCAGAGACAAGAATCTCACAGAAGGGTGTTGACAGCACCTGGCAGGGAACTCATCCAAGCAAGCCACAGAGAAAAGCTCACGCCTCAAGACCCTACCCCCACCTACCTCAAAGGTGTCTGAGTGGAGTGTTGGCAGCCACTGGCTGGCAGCTCTTTTATCTGGTCCCTTCTGACCTGGGGATGTGGGGGATATTGTGTTTTGGAACAGGGGGCAGAAAAGCAGAAAAACAAAGTTCGGAGACCTACCACTTTACAGTGATTTAGATCACAGCAGATCTTTTAAACTCTGCCAGGAACTACATGTTGGCATATCACAGATTCTGTCCTTTGATACTCACCCACCCAGAAGTATAGGATTTCCTTTGATCCTTTATCTCCTGCGAAGCCAGAAGGCACGGTGTGTACCTGTGCTGCAGTCCTGGCCACCCCTACCAGACCCATGTGGAGAATCTTTATCTTATGCATCTGAGTCCATCTGTAAGTAGGGAGTGAAGACAGTCCATGTATGTTCTCCTTTGACGTGCTGTGAATGCTATTTAAGGTCCTACCCCTCTCTGGACTGATTCTCCTTTGCTAATTGAAGTGTGACATCATCCATCTATACAGAAAGCTGCATAGAACTTAGGACAACATCTCTATCTCTTTTCATATATTATATATGTATATATAAACATATATTATGTACATGTATATATTATGCATATATGTATATATAATACACACATATTTTTTATCTATAGTGTGTCTATATGCTTTCTTCTAACACTGTAAGACTGGGTTATTGTTGTCTGCTCTCATGGTCTCTGTTCCCAAGCTCTCCATAAATCCTA